TTTTTTTTGTTTTTTGTTTTTGCAGAACCGGGGATTGAACTCAGATCCTTGTGTTTGCCAGTCAAGCGCTTATCCTACTGAGCCATCTCCCCGGCCCCTGTTGAACCATTCTTGCATCCCAGGGATAAAATATACTTGGTTATGATGTATGATCTTTTTGATAATTTCACTGCATTCTATTTGCTGGTATTTTATTCAGGATTTCTTTTTTTTGGTGGGACCAGGGATTGAACTCAGGCCCTTACGCTTGCCAGGGAAGCGCTTACTCTACTAAACCATCTCCCCGGCCCCTTATTGAGGATTTCTGAGTCTTTGTTCATTAAAGACATTGGTTGGACCATGGTTTTCATTTTTAGTTGTATTTTTGTCTGATACTTGGAGTCTAGGTAATGCTAGATTCCAGGATGAGTTTGGAAGTATTTCTTCCTTTTCATTTTCACTGAAGGACTTGGGAAGTATTGGCATTAGATCATCCTAAGTTTCGTTGGGACTGCTGTTTTCTTCCGGTAGCTGCTGACCGCTCTAGGCTTACCTTGTGTTGGTAGAGAAAGGTCTCCCTCTCTGGAAGCCAGGGCTAGCATTCCAGGCTGCTTTGGTATTTTCTCTGTTGTGTTTACTTTCTCCAGTTGCTCTGTAGTTTCTGGTTTTCCTAGTTTTCTTATTGATTTTTTCTTGATTCCCAAAGATTTGCTTCTTTTTTCCTTCACTACATTGTTGTTTTCCAGGTGTCTCGAGTCCAAGTTCTAGAGAGGCTGTACTTTGCTGGTAGTCTTTTTTTTTTTTTTTGTGATGGTAGTCTTTATGCCATCATTTTAAATCTCCTAGTGTTACTATTTTTAAATCCTTTCCTAAGGTTTTGTTTTGTTTTGATTTGCTATGTTTTATTTTGCTTTTTTTTACTGGAGTTAAACCCAGGCCCTTGTATATGCTAGACAAATGTTCTACCATTGAGTTAGATTCCAACCCCGCTACCCTCCCCCATTCTGAGGCAGATCATCACTAAATTGCCCGGGCTGGCCTCAAATTCATACTTCTCCTGCATCAGCCTTCCAAGTATCTGTGACTACACAGGTGTGTATTCGTACCCAGCGCATTTTGAAATCTTTTGGTTAGTATTGCATCACTTCTCTTTCTCCACCCTTTTATTTGTAACCTGTATATCTTTATAATGGGTTTTTCATAAGTAGTCATTCGTTGATGTTTGCTCTTTTATCCACTGTATTATCTATGCCTTTTAATTGATTGATCAGACCATTTATATCTAATGTAGTTACTAAATCAGTTGTGTTTAAATATGTTGTATTTTGTTTTCTTTTTTGTTGTTGTTGTTTTTCTTTTTCATAAAATCTTTTATAGTGATTTTTTTTTATTCCATTTCATGTCTACTATTAATGTATTGCCGGGGCCTGCCCCTTAGCTCAGTTCTTTAAGTGGCTGCTTCAACAAAGCTGTCAGGCTCAGGTTGTTGTGGTTCGATCCCCACCACTCAAGCCAGCCAAAGCTGCCCTGAAGGCATTGGGAGCAAAAAAAAAAAAAAAAAATCCTATAATATATTGCCTGTAACTGTTTTGGGTAGGCTTTTTTAAGGGCTTTTCAAAGGTTGGTAGTATACATCTTTAACTTACTACATTTTGCCCCTAAGAAATACGGTATCCCCACATATCAAGCATAAATTATGTCCACTTCCCCTCACCGTTTGTGCTGCTGTTGATTTTTAATTAACCAATTGCATTTTAAGGGGTCTTTCACATGAGAGAGGCTGTGTCCTTTATACTGTACCACATAGTTACCATTTCTGGCACTGTTTGTTCCTTCATAAGCCAGATTTCGCTCTGATCTTTCTCGTC